ATCCAAAGTATGCAGTAACTCTAACAAATGACTGTATTTTCTCCTTTTTCACTTTAAATCAGAGCTATTGAACCCCAGGCCAGTGGACCTGTGGGGCTTTCCCTGTCTCCCCCAGTCATCAATCATTTGATGGTTTTCCTGCTTTTTTGCAGTTTTCCCCCATTCCAGAAAGTTGAAATACAGTGGTACCTTGGCTCACGAACTTAATTCGTTCCAGGACTCTGGTCCTGACCCAAATTGGTCATGAGCCAAGTTCAATTTCCCTTTAAGGTTCAATGTAAATAAGGTTAATCCGTTCATTAACTAACTTTTTGATCAAAAAAATGTGAAGCAAAGTGACGAAGAACAACACAGATCGCAGCCATCTCCCCCCACCCCTCTGAGCAGGAGTGCGGCCATCTCCCCGCTCCCCCAGCATGACCGTGATCTCTGCACACACCCGGCACACTGGAGGTGGGGGAGATGGGCATGAACATGGGCGCGCTTGTGGAGGGGGAGACGGGTATGGTCATGCTGGGGGGCGGGGAGATGGCCGAGATCATGGTTGAGCTCCTGCAGGAAAGACAGGTGCAATCACGGGCGTGCTTGGGAAGGAAAGATGGGCGCGATCTTGGTCATCTCCCCCCCACCCCGCCCCCAGCATGATCATGGCCATCTCCTCACTTGAGGGGGTGGGGAGACGGCTGTGATAGCGGTAGCCACCCAATGCGGAGCTCGCTAGCTGAGTCAAAATTTTATGAAATGTTTGTTAGTGACCCGATTTGGTCGTGAACTGAGGCGTTCATGAACTGAGGTACCAGTGTACCTCTCATGAAGTATACCTATTGGCAGTAAGAATGTAAAGCTAAAATATGGTATTACTTTTGATTTTTTGCCCAGCCGCCCCCTGAGATCAGTGGGAGAGGCCCTCCTCCGGGAGCCCTCAGTGAAGGAAATTTGGAGGGTGGTTACTCGGAGGAGGGCTTTCTCAGTGGTGGCGCCTAAGTTATGGAATGCGCTCCCCAGAGAGGTCTGCCTGGCGCCGTCGTTATTTGTTTTTCGGCGCCAGGCAAAGACCTTTTTATTTAAGCAGCATTTTAAATGTTAATATTATTGAATTTTATTTGGCCAGGGCGGCTTATTTTATTCTACTGTATATATTTTAATTGTTATTGTTTTAATTTATTGTGTATTTTATTCAATGTTGTGAGCCGCCCCGAGGCTTCGGCAAGGGGCGGCATAGAAATGTTTTAATAAATAAATAAATAAATAAATTTTTGGCCTCCTTTTCCCTTCAGCCCCACCACAATTTGTATGTGCCCCGGAAAGCTTCTCCATAGTAGAATTTGGCCATCACCTTCAAAGATCTCCAGATGTTTTGGACTTCAGCTTCCAGCATTACTAACCATTGGCCATGCTGGCTGGGACTTATGGGAGCTAAAGTTCCAAACATACGGAAAGTGATCTTTTGCTTGCCCCTTCTCTAGAACAAATGTACGTGTCAAATCTATATAGGGATCCTAACAAAGTGGATCTCCCGCACTTTTTCTCCCACTCTAGTCCTGATCCATATTGGACACCCCATGCTGTAATTTATGTTGCCAAATAGCAATCAATTAAAGTAAAAGGTATTAGCAGGAATAGTTTGACAAGTCTGTATGGTCAACCCGTTCCTTATACAGACTAATATGAGAGTGTAATTCAATGAGAAAGACACTTACCTGTCTCTGTGTGTTTCTTTTATAGCCGTAGCCAGGTTTTTCTCAGCCTCCTGTGTCCCAGGAGCTCCTAAAGAAGAACCAAATCTGTGCCGTTTATGTGCTGGGACAGGTTCAGAAAAATGTAGCCGGAATGATCCTTTCGCTGGCTATTCAGGAGCTTTTGAGTGAGTAGCATATGTTTCTGTGCTGACTTTTTTGCATAGTCCTAATAAGTGTCGGTGCTTTGTCATGAATATGAAGGGGTAAATATGATGATGTCAGTTGCAATGGAAGAGATCTTTGCATGTGGTATTGTCAGTTCTTGCTCATTTCCCTGAGTACTGAAATTTTCCAGAGGCAGCTGTCCCTGGATTTGGCTTCCTTTAGTGGAGGCAGCACTGTAGACGTTTGGCATTTTTGTAGCATTTGTTTCATTTGAAAATATACTGGTCATACTGAAATGGTTGCAGACTAAGCCTTCTGCAAGCTGATGCTCTCTGGATATGTTGACTGCAGTGCCCATCATCCCTGATACCTTATCATGCTGACTGAGGATGGTGGGTGTTGTAGTTTAAGGCACCTACGGGAGACATGGTTGGGAAAGGCTTGTGTATATACTGTGTGTTTCCACTTAAGTTGTACTTGTGTATTTCTGATACTCCGCATCTGCTTTCTGGGGAAAGGCATCTTATACTCACAAGAGGCCTTTAGCTTATAAGCAACAGGGTGCATAAATGTGAGGCATAGATCCATTTCGTTTTCATTAGCACTTTGAAGTTCCAGCACTTCAGCCAAGGGCACAATGATGGCCCAGGAAACACGCAGGAGTGCAGCCTAAGGAGTTTCTGAACACGCCGTGCCCAAATCTATCCCCCTTTCCCCTTAAGATTGCTTGGTTGTCACAGCTGGTTCATTTCTGAGTGACAGTCGGGGGACAGTTTTTGTTGTCACTGTTCTTAAACAATTGGGAACCAGAAAGGCTTGCTGATCAACTGCAGAGTTTTATCAATAAACCTCAATCTACCAGTAGAAGGGATTGAACTTTTCTTGTCCCTGGTTCTAGGTAATTCTGAATTCATTTCTCTGCTTCCGTCTGTTCCCCAAACTTTCCTTCTTTTGTCTATTCCTTAGCCGTGTCCCCTTAGCTGGGAGAGGAAGCATGTGTGCCACATTTCTGATAGCTTCCCCGCCCCCGCCCCCAAATATCTGACTAGGAAAATCAGTGGACAACCATGAGCCATCACAACATATTCCAGCCCCATTTAACCTTTCCATCTGTGGAGTGTAGGGTGTGTGTTTGTTTGCCCAGATGTGCGCTTCAGTGCAAGAGAGAGGGAGGGCACATTCTTCTGTGAATTAAACACAGAACAAAATGCCTCCAGTAGAGTCGGACAGCGCTGTGGGGGGAATAGTGCTGCTGCTGTTTGCTGCTTTACAAAGAAGCAATGACAACAAATGAAAGAAAGCCAAACAGAGGCTCCCAGAATGGTGCAGGGTTTGGTTGGAAACAAAACCCAAAAGATCTTTGGCAGATTTACAAAATCATTTTCTACTCTGTAGACAGCAGAGCAGTGCGTATGTGCGCATGCATGTTTGGTGGCTGCTCACTCAATGTTGCTTACCCATCACCTCTCTCCTTTGCAGGGGTGGGGAATGTCAGACCAGGGGTCCCAGTCTGGGCCTCTGCTGTTCTTCCCCTGGGCACATGCAGTTCCCCCAGTCCCTTCCCCTTTTCCCCAGCCACCAATTCTTTGGCATTTTCTTGGCGTTCAAGCAGTTTGCCCCCATTCTAAAAAGCTGAAATGCCTCTCCCTGAACACCATCACCAAGAGCATTAAGCTAGAATATAATGCCCTTTTGCATCATTTGGGCCTACCCTTTTGGACTTCAGCCCTGCCCACCATTGGAATGTGGCCACTGAGAACATCTCTGAAATGGAATTTGATCCTCAGACTGAGAGGTCCTATCTCTTGCTCTGTCACGAAAGTTGAGGGGTGAACAAAGTTGACGTGTGGCTGAGCCTGCACCACAAGGAACACTTCTTGAAGGAGAAACTTCCTCAAGTGCACTCGCTCCTCACCTTTCCTGTAGGGCAAATGTGAGCAAAGATGATGGACAGCTCAGCTGGAAACCACCACATCAAGTGCTATGTCTGTGGACACATGCCAGCAGCTAAGGAAACCCCACCCACTTCGAGCTAAAGATTCAGACATGTTCTGTGCCAATTCAGCTGTTGAGTGGAGAAAGAATTGCTACCCTCAGAGTAGGGTATGGCAAAGTCCCCACAGCAGATGCATGCAACCCCTGAAGACAAGAAGAGCGTGGAAGAGCAAAAGAGGAACAAAGGTGCAACTATCATGCAAAACATGATTGTGTGGAAGCCTTCCAGGGGTCTTGTCTGTGGCATTGATCTAATGTGCTAGGCAGTATTTAGAGTCTCCTCAGATTTTATTATCTCCTTGACATTCTCTTATATAAAGAAACCTGTTTTTTTCTAATTATCATAGGTGGCCAGAAATTGGCTACACAATGTTAGCCATGCTGTCTGTTTTGAAACACTGAACTTGTTTGACTCCATTTCCTTTGCCCCTTTCACTCTCTTTGGAAACCACTTCTTCAGGTAATCTTTTCCAGAACCACCTTAGCTTCACGCCTTACCTATTTTTCTACACTCTCACCACTCATTTCCAATACCTGGCCATTATTAAGACCAGCCATACCTGATAGGCATAATATGATTTGTAAAGTTCTCCACACGAGGAACCACCATAACTTCTTTGTGTCAGCACTGAACAAAATTAAACCATAGTCCATGATCTGTAGTCTGTTTGTTCTCCTTTGGATGAGTGGAAGGGATGCAAGTATAGATAGAACTAGAGTGTAGAACAAAATTCAAAGCTAGAGTTGCTCTAATATTTTCCACCTCCTCTTTTTCTTCAAGGTGTCTGAGATCTGGAGCTGGAGATGTGGCCTTTGTGAACCATGACACTGTACTAGGTAAGGAGTCAGGATAGTCTAGCTTACTTAGTACTGTGCAAAATTTATTTTCATGGCCTACTGTACAGAGGGAATTCATATGTTTGAGTCAATCTGTGTTGAGTTCCTTGTGCTGAGTTGGTTGTGTTATTATGCTAATGTGTGAACCAGATGCCTGCTGAGATCAGTGGTCCATTGGGACAATAGCACCCTCTGATTCACGTTTCCCAACAACTGGCATTCAGAGGCATATTCCTGTAATGTCGGAGGATTATGAAGCTGTTATGACTAGCAGCTGTTGGTAGGCTTCTCCTTCATGTATTTGTCTAATTCAGTTTTAAAGCCATTCAAGTTGGCAGCCAGTGCTGCATTTTGTAATTCTAAATTCTGTAGTTTAACAAAATGCTGTGTGNGTGTGAAGAAGTACTTCCTTTTATTCGACGTGAATCTCCCAGATACATGGGTTGATGCCAGGTTCTAGGTTACTATCCATGTTCTCCACAACAGGCACCAAGTTGTGCACTTGCATAGTCTCATCTCATATTTGCCTTTTTTCTAAGCTAAAACGGCCCAAACACTAGAACCTTTCTGCAACTGGAGGAGCCAGCTCTGTTATCCTTTTGGTGCCGGGTTAAGATTGCCCTCTGTGACAGGGCATAACCAGCTTAAAACAGATTGGGGTATTATGTCAGGTGTTCAACAGGTCCTGTGATTTGATTTGTGTTAGCTGTTCTAGCTGTTTCAATTCAGATTTTAATATGGCTTATAAATTTCATAGTGCCATTTTTATGATGTTGTTATTGTCATCCACATTTTATATTGCATTTTATTTTTTATATATTTTATGTGCTGCTGTGAACTGCTCAGAGAGCTTTGGCTGTTGGGTGGTATGGTAATAAAATAAATAAAGTAAAAATAAAGGGAGTTGCTCATACACTTTGGTCACTTTGGTTATCCTTTTCTACATCCCCAGCCCTGTAATGCTGCCCAGATCCCCAGTCAATGGCCCTGCTGAAGGGAGTTTTGGGAGTTCTGGTCCAAACGCCTCTGAAGGCCACCAGGTTGGAGAAGGCTGCTGTAGGCCTTTAGGATCTATACCACATGACTGTGAATTTTTACTGACCTAGTTTCTTTTCATTAGTCATGGCTTCTTCTCTCACCTCCAATTTTCTAGCAGCTCGGCGGCTTGTCTTACTCTTTGGCTTTATATCTCATTGTTGCTTTTCAATTTTGTTAGCTCTCAGTCCAGAAGAAAGGGCAAAGTATGAGCTGCTCTGTACTGATGGCACAAAGAGGCCTATTGAAGAGTATCATCTCTGTTACATTGCTAAAGTTCCTGCTCATGCTGTGGTGGTACGAAATGATTACACCGGAGTAGATGACATCTGGGCACTTCTCTCCTATGCAGAGGTAACTCCCAGATTTTTTTCCCCAAACAGGTCAGAAATAAAGCATTCCAATCCAAACTGTATGAAGGATTTCAAGCAGAACGATGTCCACTAGCAGGAAAAGATTGTTGTACACATGCACCCAATTCTGCATAGTGAGAAGCTTCAGGCTTTCCCACACTTACTAGGTACTTTAGAAGGTGGTCACTGAGGACTTGTCAAGTCATTTTCACTCATGGTACTCCTATGAATGCTCCAGAATGTTGTGCCCTTGACAGGCCTGTTCCGCTCCTGTGTACTCAAGGCTGTGGCTTGCTGTATGGGATCAAGTCATCTCACAGTTGGTTTTCCTCTTGTCTGACTATTCTGCCTATAGGAAACCATTCTGTATCTTCATACTCTGTCCAGATGGTAACTTCTTGTCCATGACGCAGGTTATGCATCAGGACAATTAAGAGCAGAGGCACATCCATCTATTTTAGGACCATCCTTAGCTTTCTTGTAGTCCACATGGTCAAAGGCATTGCTGTAGTCTATAACTGATCTTTTGAAATTCTCTGGTGCACTTCAGTAACCCATGCATATTTGTGATATGATTTCAAGTGCCTCTTCCTGTTCAGAATCCAGCTTGAATGCCAGGCATTTCTTGTTCCAAAGGGAGTAAAATTCTTCATTGAAACACCTTGAGCAGCACTTTGACTCCATGGGGAATTCGTGCAATGGTCCTATGATTGCTGCATTCTTTTGCATCTCCATTTTTGGGGATTGTAATATATATATTGAACATATTCCATCTGTGGGCCATTGGCTTGTTTTCCATATTTGTTGGCATGTTCTGGTTAGGATTTGGATGGATTCAGCCTCTGCAGCTTGGAATAGTTGTATTGGTAGCTCATCTCGTCTAGGTGATTTATTCCTTCCAAGTGCTTTCAAAGCAACTTTCACTTCACTTTCTGATTGGTGAATATATTTTTCCCTGGTGACCAAACAACAAGAGCCAGCTACTTAAGGCTCCATCAGAGAGACACAAGAGGGTCAAAAATATACAAGAAACCTCTGCAAAGGAGTTCAGAATTTCTAACGATAAGCCTGGAGAGAAAGGTTTTGATACCAAATGTCTTAATTGGAAGAGTAGATCAAGATAATCATGTACAAAAGGAACTGAATGTTTCCTCCTATGAAATTTTCTGTTACTAAAAATCACAAAACGTTACTCTATATAGGCTCACTCTATATTGCTAGTGTGAACGTACAGCAAAGAGTCTTTTTTAATGGAAAATGACTGGTTGGTGTCGCCTGTCTCTCTTGCAGTCGGAGAACAAACAAGAGGATTTTTTTTGTCCTGAACATGATACTCCATGTTCTTCCCACAGGATTCCTCTTTGAGGGAAATTGTCCTCCTTTACTCTCTTCTGCATGGCCCTTCCATATATTATTTCAACCTTCTCTTTCTCCTGTCAGATACTATGTTCCTCCGTGGGTCTTTTTAATCAGGGTCTGAGCTTCCCTTTGAGTTCTTAGATCTTCTTTTTCCTTTTTTGTTCTATTTGTTTGCACTGGCCATTGTAGTAGTTCTTTGGTTTCAGTCCACGGTTCTTCTGATTCACAGTCAGTTGAGTTCAGTCATGCAAATTTGTTCTTTATGTGGATTCAGGTTCCTCATGAATGCTATTTAATTCCATTTTGGCATGCTGGGGTGGCAGGGGGAGAGCAGGCTGGGGCCATCTCCCTGTGCTGATTCCATTGTCGGGCTGGGCTGACCCCTTTCAGAATCCACCCCTCTAGCCTCCATGGAGCTCCTCTCACGCTCAGCTCCGTCCTGCAAAGGGAGCTGAGCCTAGAGGAAGTCCGCAAAGTCTTGTGGAACGCCAGTGGCACAACCAGCAACCTTTCCTATCAGGTGCAGACCCCCAGGAGTGGCTGCAGGATGCAGGAGATGGGCTCTGAGAGAGGTCACGCCAGGCGCCTTTCCTGCTGATTGGCCTGGCGGTGGCAGTGCCAGGGGCAGAAAAAGAGCACTGCGGGTGGTCGCACCAGGCGCCATTCCTTGCAACCAGCCTTCTCCTGAGCCTGGTGCAGGAAGTCGGGCTCCAGCGTCTGGGGAACGAGCCCAGGGGATCTGGTTCCCTTCACCTCCTAGGGGTGTGTGCAGTGGCAGCAGAGAACGCCTTGCTCTGTGCCTTGCTCCAGTGATTGGATACATGCAAGCCTCTGAGTCGGGAGGCTTATGTGCCTGGAGGGTCAGGCCGTTGCGCTGTGCCCTAAGTAAGGACAGCTGAGCCCGTGGAGCATAGACGGCAAATGGAGAGGGAAAAAGGCACCTGACATACTCGGCCTCCTAGAGGTGAACCTATCTAAGCACATGGACAGGACACTGTGAGGACCATTCATTCATAGAATCAGCCGAAGTTGGAGATGACCTGATGGCACGTAACAACGAATATCCATATATGCCCACACGCAATGCCACCGTGTGTGTGTGTGTGTGTGTGTGAGCGGGAGATTTTTTTCTTTTGCAGGCCCCTGCTCAGCTCCTTCTGAGCATGGTATCAAAGAACATCGCCATTTCTTCTCACACTCTTTTTACCTTGAAACAACCACTACATTGTCAACCTTCATTTGGCTAAATCTGATTCACTACTGCAAGGGATTCAAGAACACTATGTACTTTTGCAAAGGGACATCCGATTCTTGAGAATCAGCCTAGCACTGAAGACTTACTGGCACGATAGTGCATTCATGTATGACATTTTGGGAGTTCATATTTTCATGGACATCATAATTTGTCATGCTGTTATTATTGTTTGGCCCTCTCTCTTTATGTATGTAATTTTTCCAGGTTTTAAAAATCAGTTAGAAACCACCTCCTTTTCATGTGCGTTTGTACTGTCCTTTTTAGGGTCAGAAAACATGAGCGCTCTTCTTGGATGTATTCAAGATTAAATTCCTAATCAATCAATCAATCAATCAATCAAATGAGTAGGTTGATTTAAATACATTGTAATGGCCCAGTGGGAGACCAACGAATAAGTCATTGCAGCATATGCAACAATTTTTTTCTTTTCTATAGTACAGTATGACAAGCAGTATGCAGACAGGTTTGACTTGTTTTGCCTCTGTTTTGCCTCTAAAGCAAAGGGATCTATACCTTTGGCATCCACACATATCTGTCACAAAAGTGTATATGAGGTGAGGATGAGGAGACAAGATGCTTTGCTCTTCCTAGTTTCTTGGTGTCTTCAGTTTATTTATTTATATATGTATTTAGGGACTGCAGGTGGTGCAGTGGTTTAAACCGCTGTGCTGCTGAGCTGGTAGATCGAAAGGTTGCCGGGTCGAATCTGCACAACGGGGTGAGTTCCCGTTGCTCTGTCCCAGCTCCTGCCAACCTTGTGGTTCGAAAGCATGCAAATGCAAGTAGATAAAAAGGTACCATTTTGGTGGGCAGGTAACAGCATTCCGTGCACTTCGGTGTTTAGTGCTGCCGGCCACATGACCACGGAGACTGTCTGAGGACAAACGCTGGCTCCCTCGGCTGGGAAATGGAGATGAGCACTGCCCCCTAGAGTCAGGCATGACTGGATGTAATATCAAGGGGAAACCTTTACCTTTTTACCTTATATATATTTATTTTTTCGATTTATATCCTGCCTTTTCCTACAAAGGGCTCAAGGCAGCTTACATCGTTCTCCTCCTCCATCTTATCCCCACAACAACAACCCTGTGAGGTAGGTTGGGCTGCGCGTCTGTGACTGGCCCAAAGTCACCCAGTTGGCTCCATGGCTGAGCGGGGACTAGAACTCAGATTGCCTGAGTTCCAGTCCCATGCTCTTAACCACTACATCACACTGGCTCTCTTGTTTCTTCTTATTCATCATCATCATCAACAACAACAAATAAATAAATAAATAAATGAATAAATTGAAGATAGGTCCCACTATCTGGAGCAGTGTAAAATAAAGTCACGAAATGATACTGATTGCAAGATCTTACTCAGGGCTGGTTCTGACATTTTTTAAGGGGAGAGCAAGTGAGACTGACTGCTTCCCCATTGGCTGGTACAATGGGAAAACATCCAGCTGCCAGAAAGTTTAATCTTCTGTTCTTTAATATTCCCATTTGCTCAACTGGTCTTAAATTTTCTTCTTATTTTTGCTCCTCACTGAATCGTTGTTTTCTTTTGTTAGGACCAGTTTAAGAACCATGGGCGAGCAGAATGCCAACTTCGAGGCTCCCCTGCCGGCTCCCCCAAAGACCTCTTGTTTAGGGACTCTGCTGTCAACTTTGTCCGTATTCCTAAATCGATTGATGCTAAGCTTTACCTGTCTTATGAGTTTTATACTTCAGTTCAGAATCTCAGAAGAGGTAAGCAGGGAGTCAGCAGCCAAGTATGAAACAAATGGTGAACACTGGTAAATGAGAAGGCACTGGAGACTATGAAACTGAATCTACTGTCAGCAGTACTATTTATTTTTTATTTGTTCATCAAATGTACAACTTGCCATTCCCCCCAAAATAGGACAAGAGTAGAATGGAAATATAAAGAAAGGTACAATTAAAATAAAACAGGATCAGTCAAAACCAGTAACAACACCCAACCACTTATAAAAACCCTTCATCAGAAAACCAGCTTACCTGCCACAGGCCTACCTGATTTAAGACAACAACTTTATGTGAAGGAGGGCAAAAGCTTTCTTGGTAGGGAGTCCCAGAATCTGGGAGTAACCACTGAGAAGGCTCTTTCTCATAGCTGCACCAATTGTAACTCTAACGGTGGGTGGAACCAACGGGAGAACCTCCTCTGAAGTTTTACAGTCATTCACACCGAATACAGTCTTTCGAATACTGGCTTATCATAGAATAGTAGAGTTGGAAGGGACCAGGGGGCCATTGTGTCCAACCCCTACTCAGCACAGGACTGCAAGTTCAACATTCCCTCCCAGCTGACTGTATGTGTCTTACATTGACTTCTGCCTTCTGCAGCTTATATAAAGGGGGAAAGTGTAGAGTTGGAATCATCTTTTTTCTGCTCGGTTATATAATTTGCTTAGGCTCCTGAATGTGGACCAATTTTTGTAAATGACTGAACCATGACGACCTACCGAAGAAAAATTCCCTTTATGTTCCAGCTGACTAAGAGCAGCTCACCATGTTTTGGAAGATAACTGCCTTGCCATTGAGTGATGCTCTTGTTGTTTAATCATCATCATCATCATCATCATCATCATCATCAAATAAATAAAAAAATTGAAGATAGGCCCCACTATCCAGAGTATTGTACAAGAAAATCACAAAATGATACTGACTGCAAGATCTTACACAGGGCTGGTCCTGGTTAAGCGGAGGGCAAGTGAGACTGACTGCTTCCCCACTGGCTGGTGCAATGGGAGAACATCCAGCTGCCAAAAAGTAAAAAAGAAAAGAAACCACACTTCCGAAAAGACAATAAAACAGTATAGGCATAGACAAGGAAAAGTCACTGGTTACTGATAATGTATCAGTTATTTCTGTTTCCTTAGAGAGACCTCCTGCTCCTGCAACAGACAAGATTGCAGAAAAGATTGTATGGTGTGCTGTTGGCAAGCCTGAAAAGACAAAGTGTGATATATGGAGTGCACTGAGCGATGGTCACATTGAGTGTGCTGTGGGTGACACTACAGAACACTGCATTATCAGCATCTTGGTAAGGGTTTAAGTTTGCACACAGTTTCTTTGTGTCTTTCCATTGAGGACAGCGACGGAAGCCACGTGTGCATGTCTTCCTGCTTCCACCCTAGCACATGCCTGTCTGTCTGTCCATCTAGCAATCATCTAACATCTTCCTTCCTTCTTTCTTTTCTGTTAGGGGTATGCATTAGGCCGGTTGTCAATGGAAATACACTTTATTAGTAGTGCCTGATAAATTCCAATTCAGAATCAAATCTGGTTGATTTGGAAAAAAATGGGAGTAGAGCTCTTCCAAAATTTATGAGAAAGTCCTTCTGGCTCTGCCAACTGTGGACATGTCTATTGTCATCTCTGGTGCATTTTCTGTGACTTTAGGGGCAACTGAAAAGAAAACAAACAAATCTATGAATGGAATAAACTCCCTCTCACGCCTAAGTTGGGCACTCCCATTTTACAAAACCACTGAACTATCCTGCACCTCTAAGCTGTATGTCATTTTCATGACAATTGCCCATCCCCCCCCCAAAAAGCATAGCGGGACAAGAACATCCTTTTGTTTTTGCAACTAATGGACTATCAAGCTGGCTTTGTATGTATTCTTCTGAAGCTTGGCAGGCTCGATCATCTCAGAAGTTGCAAGAAGCCCTGCAAATTTCATCCAGTTCTGCTAAGGAACAGAAAGTTGTTGTCTGTTCTCTCCTTTTCTAAATCAAAAGTGTGCAAAACCTCATCTGAATTTTGGGAGAGGTAATCCCCTGTAAGGGATGAATAAGCCTGCAAATAACCTCAACCCTGACAAAATGGGCAGCTTGTATAAATATTGTTTGATTTCTAATGATAGTAATTGGGGGCCTAAGGAATGGAAATGCTGAATGAAGAATTGGATTTGGACTCAGATAGGGTTGAATTGAAGCGGCTTGTTGTCTGAATTGCCAAATCAAGGCCCAAACTGAACCTCGTGGTTGGCGCACACCTTATCCACCTGTCTACCGTTTTTATCCATCCTCCATCTAAGATGCTCCCCTGACCCATTCCTTCTAGTTTTCCTCATGAAGTTGGGACATGTGAGGCATGTATTGTGTTCTTACAATCATCCACTCATGTACATTTCCAGGTCCCTCTCTCCAGGGCCTCTCCCAGGATAATATTATAGTGCATAATATTTCTATAAATAGTAATGATAATAGTGTTGTTTAGGGTTCCGGTCAGCCATGGTCTTCCCTTATTTTTGTTTTGTTTTGTTCTGCCAACAGTCAGCCAGCATTCTCCCTCCACTGTGCATGTTCAATGTCCCCTGCAAAGAGCCAGTATGCAGGGTTTGAAGGCTTTCTTCCTTCATTTTTAAAAACTCTACAACACTCAGGGTTTTCCCAAGGTTGCTTATTTCTTCTTCTTGTGTATGGAAGGTGGAGTCCTGCTTACATTAATATCCACACTCATGTCATGACTCTGATCTTTGCATATATGATTTTCTTTTCAGAAAGGTGAGGCTGATGCAATGAGCTTGGATGGAGGACACGTGTACACTGCAGGAAAGTGTGGCTTGGTGCCAGCCATGGCAGAAGTTTACAGTAAGTATAAAAAATGTCTGGTTGAATAAATGACTGGGAGCACCGGTTGACAGATGTGTGTGGCTGGAGATGCTTTCTGATGGGCCTTCAGATTGAGGAAAACACAGGGTTCAATGGAATGGGCACTTTTATGGTGTGGTGTGGTGTGGTGATGGGGGTGTGTGTTGGACTGGGGAGCCGGATGATCCAGGTTCCAGGCCCACTTGCTGTGAAGCTCATTAGGGGACCTTGGGCCAGTCAGTGTTTCTCAGCCCATTATCTTAAGCTGCATCTTTGTACATTCTTTTCTTCAGTGTGGCGATCACCGCTCTACACTGTGTTTATTCCAAGTATGGTCACACCATTGGTTTGTATGGGGGGTGGGCAGTATCAGGCCCATGGGCTGCAGAACCTCACTACCACTCTGCCAAGAAGGGATGCTTTTTCCTGAAGAAGTTGCAGTATGCTGCTGAGATGCAGTGAAGAAGCAACACCAAGGGGAAAATTGGGACTTTTTCTTTTTTCCCATCATCATCATCATCATCGCTGCAGTGCTGCTGCACCATGAATGTTGGTAGTAAATGGAGTGGGCTCCTGTAGGCCCCAGGCAGGGAATTTCCCCACAGACCTTGAAATTGGCTGCCCCGATATAAGGGCAGAATGATGTTGGTGGCTTTATTTTTAACTCCTTATTTGATTATGCCCAACATGGTATTTGCCTTCTTCACAGGAGCTGTATGCTCAGTCAAAATTTTTAGTATTACCAGCTCATTTCAAATACAATGTGATCATGATGTTAGGATTTTCTGCCCCAGTTTGCTTTACTTTATATTTGCAGTTGCTTACACTGTATCACATCTGTTAATTCTTCCAGTTTGGGGATATCCTTTTGGACTTCTTTGCAATTTTTCTGTTTTTTAATCGCCCTAATTAATTTGGTGTCATCAGCTAACTTAGCCACTTAATTGCTCATTCATAATTCCAAACCACATTATATTTATCATGTAAAAACATTATAAGAAGTTATTTTGTAGAGTCAGAAAGGTCAGTCTCCGATCCAGGCCACATGGATTTGTACACTTCCTCATGTCCTTGCTTGATGCCCCATCCTGCTGAGACCAATCTGAGGCTGAGCAAAGGAAAATGGGACAAGATTAATAGGGTCATATGGTAAGGGAGCCTTCTGTGCAACAGATTTATCCCTCCCCAGGTTGACTTGCTGACGTTACAGCACTTTATCATGCAAATGCTTTGGCAGTTTCCACCTGTGCCTTATGCTAAGTTTTCAGAAAACATCCTGCTTTTGCCCCTCAGATTTGTATCCACGAGAGACCTTATTTGCATTGCATTCACAGCAAGCTTGGTGTCAATGTATTGTCTCAGAATTCTCTTTCTTGTTCTCAATGCAGAAATTGACCCAGCTGAGCCGAATCCATGTGACAATACAGAAATACCGGCAACAGGTGAGTAACACTGGGAGACACACAAGGTTGGTCCAGGACATCTTGCTGCTTGATGCAAAGGGCAAGGTGGTACCCCCCACCCCCGTTTCCTGTGTGGATGACTCCTTCAGCACTGAGCAAAGGTAGCGTCTTCCACTGTACCTGGGCACGTTAGGCTGGTTTCGGGGTGCAGCAGCAGATGTACGGCACAGCCAGTAAAACCAGGCATATGGGGAATTGCTGGACAGCTCTGGAGGGTGGCTGGAGTGTGCCAGGGGGGCTGAACTGCCACCCCACAGCATCTACCACCTGAGCCAGTTTCTGCATTCTGCTTCATATGGCTCTGAGTACACAGGCACTGACAATATTTTGAATATGTTAAAGCCTTTATTTGGGAAACTGAAAACACTGCCAGATCTTTCTGGCAAATCTCATTCTCCCCTCATCTGCTGGGGATGGGGAGATCATGCACAAAGGAAGAAATGCTACCTGCCTGTTTCAGAATGTCTGTGTCCATTAGCAAAGCGTCAAGAAAATCCAGTTGGTCCATAGCCAAAGCATTCTTGGTTCCCCATATGCAGATCTTTCAAATATGAATATAACAATGGAGGGTTACATACAACCCAACGTGGGAGGTGCTTGCAGGGTTGTGCCTGCTTCCTATGCATTGATAGATTTGGGCTCTCAGTTGATTGACTTTGTTTGCCTCTCCTCTGTCTCCAGTTAAAGGCTATACTGCTGTGGCTGTTGCCAAGAAGGAAAATGAGGGCATCACATGGCACACTCTGAAAGGAAAGAAGTCTTGCCACACTGGTGTTGATAGAACTGCTGGCTGGAATATCCCCATGGGCTTGATTTATAAACAGAATAATAGGAGCTGTGACTTTGGTGGGTAACATTAGGTTTATTTGTTTAGCACACCGCTACTTTGCCTTCTTCCAAGGAGCCCAGAGCAGGACACAGATCCCCTCTTTTACCTTCACAGCAGCTTTGTGAAGTTGGTTAGGCAAAACAGCGATTGGTCCAAATACAGCAAGGGTGTTCCCAGATTAGGATTACTTGGACTACCAGTGAGAAGCCCTGTTGCTGCTCTTCTATCTTTCCCTCCTTAATGGATATTTGTACTGATAAAACAGATTAAAAACAACAGTGGGAAAACTTAGGAGGTGTAAAAATGGAAGATCACAGCCAGGACAGCTGCAGCTGAAAAGAGTAATTCTTTCTCTTGGCACATGCTATGCACAAGAGTGCTATGCACAGTGATTTACACTAGAATGAGAAGGGAGTCAATGAGTCCAAAGGACACACCTCTTCTCAGTTCTAGAAGGTAGTGGGACTGTATAGTCTAAAAGGCCGCAGCAGAGGAATGGGGCATTTTCTTCCCACTCCCTTGTGCCCTGCCCCTCTTGTCCTCGTCTTCATGGTCTTAGGCCTGCCACTGTCATTCCATATGGCCACCAAGCACACACACAGGATCCAGAAGCTGTGTCTCTTGGCAAGTTCAGCCAGGATGGAACATTGGGCTGCTGCTATTCCATTTTTTCAGCTGATATCACCAAATACAGTTCATGGATGTTTTTGCCATTGCTTCTTGGAGAGCACCAATCAGTTGGCAATGTAGTTTGTGCTGAAAACACGACGGTTGATAAACCATCTTGAAAAGACAGTGTTCCTGGTATTTCAATACCTTTCACCTGAGCTTGCTTTCTTGCCTGCCAATACAAGCATCTTGGACCAGTATCTTCCCCTGTTAATTTCAGACAAGTAATTTCAATGCAAATATAGTCTTAGGTTAATTAGAAGAACAGAAATGGAGAAATTCAATTTGGCTGTCCTCTGTCCACATGTCAGGTAAATTCTTCAGTGAAAGTTGTGCACCAGGAGCACCAAATGAATCTCCACTCTGCAAGCTGTGCAGGGGCTCTCAAGCTGGCGTCCCGGATTCATACAAATGCAAACCAAACAGCAATGAAAGATACTATGGCTACAACGGTGCTTTACGGTAGGTAACTTTGGTATTAAAACCAAATTATTCTTTGTGTGGTGATGGAGAAATGAGAAGCCATATCTCACTTTTCACCACCTAAGCAGTCCCAAACGCCTTTCTTTTAATGATCACCACTACATGCACTTTGCAATGGTATCTTGCAGCAACAGGCCTAAATATCCTAAGCGTATGGGAGTCAAAAAGGGTGCCATAGGCCAGTAATTCCTCTCTCAACCCCTACACCTGTCCACATATTCTGGCAGCCAACGGAGTGGGTGCACCTGAAACAACCCCAAAGCAAATAGTTTCAGATGACTCCCAGGCATCTTGAGGGATGTTTTATAGGGTGACATCTCCAAGTCACCTAATACATACATACATACATACATACATACATACATACATACATAAATAAAGCTTTTGAACAAAACTAAACTGTTTAAACAAACAAAAATCTGTTGAATAGTATGGAATTCTCCGGGGGTATGAACCCCACCAAGAATGTTTGATTTCTAGACTGGCAAATCCCAAGCCTGACAAAACTAGAATGCCCTTCAGCTTGGATCTTTAGTAGGAGCAATCTGGTTGCAAGTGTTTGCTGGGGACTGCTTCTGAGCAAAGGAATTTAACAATAATCACGCTTATTTCACGTGTTCCAAGCTGAGTGCCTGCAAATCCTTTAGTCTATCCCCACCTAGTGGTTCAAATAATATGCTTTCCGCTTAATAAGCGTACTGCTTCCCACATCGTTAAAATATGTGTTCAGGCATTTCGAAGGCCATTATAAGCATTTTGTCATAATATCAACCATATAGAATGGAACAGAAGCTCACAGCTGTTTATACTCCTCAGTGAATTAAGACACATAGGTGGTTTGCACGATCTAACCAAATATGGGATGTCACCCTTAGTTGCACGATGGCTTTGTCAGGATGTTCAAATGTGCTGTCCTTGTTTACCATGTGTGCCACCCTGACAATCCATGGCTGCTTGTTTGGTTGTTCAGGGTAGCCTGCCATGATGTATGAACCCGGTAGAGGCTTTTGGAAGGGGCTACTGAACCACTTGGCAGGGGTGATGAAAAAACTGGTCACTTTTCCTTTTAGTTTCACCCGCATCTTCTTTTCTCAATTGTCTTCTGTCCCTTCTCCAATACATCAATAAGTGCCACATCTGAGTTTCCTTTATGCATTTTTAATTTAGTAATTTTTGTGCTTCCACAGATGTGCAGATTTGCCTGCTATTTACAAAGTCAAGTAATACAATTGTTAGTAAACTAGTCAGCATACAAATACCCCTTCTCTTTCATATTTTGAAATGACTTGTGAATTTTCTTCTCTGCTTGTCATATCCTAGATAGCAACATTTGTTTTTGTCACCGTTGACTAGGTTAATTTTTTTTTC